TATTGTTTTCACTTTGAACACCTATCACGATGAAAACAGAACTGCCCCTTCATTGCACACTTATGAAAGCATATATATGAAAGCGCTACAAATAAAATTGTCTCCTCTCTTGTAATGCAGAACTGCCCCTCAAAAACACAAGTACCCCTGTCGCATTAACGAGATTCTGCACCTTTCCCCTCTCGAGATGAAACGTTGGCCAACAGAAACAATAGTGCTCCGATCGCGATAAGGCCAAAAAAAAGTCTCCGGTTTCTGGTATGGAGCTTGCCCAAAAAGTGGTGCGGCGACGCGGCTTTTTTTTTTTACCTGATGTTTTTTGCTTCAAATGTCGGCTGATGACTGCAAATGGTGCCCGACTAAACTTAGTGCAAATATATGGGAGTCCAGAGAGGCCACATAAAGCCTATTCTCGACCATAACCCAATCTAAAAACACGTTAAAAATGTGCAGTAGCAGGATTCCAGTCAAACCAGTAAGTTTGGCGGTTTTGAGACATCATCTTTCATTGAAGAAAAAACTTTTTCATTTTGCCAACGCGCATGGCTACGGCGACGCGCGCGCATACCAGAAACCGGAGACTTTTTTTGGCCTAACTTCTCTAGATGGAAAACTACCCCTCGAGCGCACTGTGTCCCGCTCGCAACATTAAAATCGTGCCCCCTCTCAAGATGGAAAAGTGGTTTCTTAAAAGAAACAATAAAGCTTTTCACGCGAAAAAAACTGGTCACTGAACTGGCCATCCAAAAGGTCTCTCTACATCACTAGGTAAAAGAAACACAACGAGCAATATGGACAACGTATTCATAATTAAGTTTGCACCTCGTCATATGGTTTCTTAGCGAAATGAACGGGAAAATATGCCTTTCCTCCACTGTCACACCGACGGAAGGTGCCCCTTTTTCTGAGCAACTGCCCATTTTTTTTGTGTTTCCCCCAGTTTGAAAAACGTTCCGCCGCCCCTGCACTTCCTCGTTTACACTGGATCCGATCCTGCTTCGATCCACCTTTTACAACTAATTATGCGCTATTACCGTATTTGGGGTCATTTTTCGCGCGCTGTACAATCGCTTAGCCCTTTACTTGCTTCGCTTACGATTTCGTTACAACTTCGTCACCGTTACTATACGGCACATCGAAATGGATGATTGCCAATTATTGTTGCTCTTTTTTCTTGCCGATGCCGTGCCGAAAATGTCCACGAATATTTAATACATGCACTTATCATGGCATTATCGCTCCACGCTTGCCTGTATGCGAAATACTTGCTAGATCACTGCCCGTATCGGACGACATGGCTTCGAACACCGACCAAGAGGAACTTTTCAGATAGTTTTTGGGTGAGTGCCGTGAACCAAACCAAAAAGAATGGCGGGCACACTATATATAGCAGCGTACGCCGTCCCTCAAATGAACAGAAGTTTTTCGCGGACTTTCGGACCTCCAAACTCAACTGCGGCACGCATACCGGATGTTGTTGTCAAATTGCGGGGTATGATCCAGCATTGATGGATCAGACCCGCATCTGATCCTTCCCGAAAGGGGGGTTGAGAACGGGAGATCAAATCCGGATCTGACTTCGATCCACCTCGCCTTTACAATTGTCGTCGATCCCCCCCCCCCCCCTGTGGGATAAGATCTTCTTTCGATCCCCCTCGCAGGATCCAGTGGTCAAGGCTAGGTATAGCTACGGGTTTGGTGAAGGATAACAGGCAGTTGTTTGTCGAAGGGACTTAAAAGATAAAAAGCTGGGAAAGGTGTTGAAAAGTCAATAGTGAAAAGGCAGTGGAATTCGGGTCACTCTCTCTAGTGGAGTGTTTTCCTCTGGATTGGGAACGATGGGATCGAACTCCAGATAAAACTGAATGTCATCAGCGTACATGTGGCATGTAATGTTATGCTGCCTCAGGATATCACAGACCGGGCTGATATACATGGAAAATGCTTGGGGGCCAATGACTGATCCCTAAATCTTCTTCCTCGAGTCATCTTTTCATTCTTTACTTCAGTTCGAGGCATACACAGGCACTCCACAAGATCCCGACCAGTCTATATGTTCTATTCACTCGCACCTCTTATTCTATGAACACCATTCGCTTCTTTTATCCTAGTGTATGGATTTTTATTTTAATTTGCCAGGCTAATTTGTTCAATTCAATGTACTGTGGTGATTATAAACTTTTACTAAACATGCAAAATAAAATATTATAGTTTATTAGTTTTTTTTTAAATTCTTATTGGCTGTTTCGGCAACTTGCTGATGAAACAGCCTTTGTTTTCGTTAAGATTTGTTGCTGTTTCGGCAACTTGCCGAACAAATTTGACACGTTTTTTGATCAGATCGACTCCAAACTTGGCACAAACCAAGACCACAATAGTAAATGTTTTCTAAAAGTGTATTTATTTTCCAAGAAAGTGTGTTTTGAGACAAATTCTCATCGAATCTACAAATGACTCCGTTTTCAAAGACGATAAGCAGGTTTTTCTTCGCATGGCGCAGCGAGTCTAGTGAAAGAACATACGGCATCCATGAATAGGGTGCATATACCTATGTTCCCAAATACCCATGTTCCCCAATACCGATGTTCCCTGAAATCCTCACCCTAAACCTAACACCCTAATCTTAAGGATTTCGGGGAACATCGGGATTGGGGAACATAGGTATTGGGGAACATCGGGTAGACCCCCCTATGCAATATTCATACACTGGTTTTCACCGCTATGAAACAGCAAGAACAATGAAAGGGGCAGAAGCCTAGCCAACGCGGAGCATGCTCGAACCATTGAACATAATTCGGCAACGCAAAATATGTCACAAAAACAGCATTAGAAACGATCGAATCTATTGACATTTTTAATGAATATGGCTCCCTCTTTCTGTATAGGGTCCGTTTTTATCAATGTATTTCGATGTCTAATGCATGTTTGTAGCGATCGGGCGAATTAGCGTGATTTTCCGTAGTATCGCGCCGATGTACGCACGCGGTGGCCGGTCCACATGGCGGACAACGCACGCTGATTCCGTGCCATGCAGAGGGTGGCGGCCGTTACAACTAGTCTTCAAACCATTGACCATTAGTCATCTAACTGGTATTTTAAGGAGATTGTAGTTTTGTAAACACATTTTTGAGCTGCTGTATCATAACTGGTTCAACATTCATACTATCTAAGCCAAATGTCTTGAATGTAGGCTAACTTTATTACTATAGGAGTGTGTTTTCCATCCGAGTGATTTTTTCCCAACTTTCACTCAGGAGGCAAGGGCGGATCCAGACTGAACTACTGTTCTATATAATGGAACATAGAAGTGGATAATACAATCAATGACTGTGATCATACATATTTTCATTGCAAGGGTACACAAGTCGGGAATCACAGGGTTACAAAAACTGCGTCATTGCCGTCATTGCCGATACAGCCATCTGACAGACTGACGGAGCGATGGTCGTGTATTTCGAACCTGTAAACGCTTTTTAATCAGCTCAATATACTTCTCAAGACTTATTGCCTTGAAGTGAAAAAAAGTTGGGTTTAAAAAAATAAAAAAAACTCGTCGCCGCACCACTTTTGGGGCAAGCTCCATACCAGAAACCAGAGACTTTTTTTTTTGGCCTAACAAAAGTTAGTTGTTCACAGACCGACGAAAACAGCCCGATGCTCAACAAAGGCTTGCCAAATACCGAAAGTAGAGGCCACTAAAAGGTCAGCGGCAGATATTGTGCTTACAAATACGCATACACATTGAAAAAGACTGTGATTGACTCAAGGGCGGATCCAGAACACATTTTTTTGGGGGGGGGCCGGGGCAAAAAAATTGGTCCCCCAAAAAGTAGATCAAAAAAAGTTACGGCGTGGAGTTCGGGGCCCGCTTTTTTTTTTGGGGGGGGGGGGCATGGCCCCCCTTTGCCCCCCCCCCCCCCGATCCACCCTTGGCAGGAGGTCGTGGGCTCGAGTCCCAGCCGAGTGATTTTTTCCAACTTTCATTCGGGAAATAACACACTGAGTATACAGTGTTTAAACGTCGGTGAAGGGCAAAACCTAATTTGATTTATATCACCCCGACGCACAAATTCCATCTTAAAACACTTATTACTTCTCCCAACCAAGGAGTAAATGGGTACCTGTGAGGGCAGAGATGGTTATTGTGATTGATTCTAGCTGCCTTGCGCCTAACAGGCAGCATCGAGCTGTATACTCCCCAGGGAGCTGAGATTGTTTGGAATGTTTAATTGGCCCAATGATTAGGGGTAATAATAATGTAAAGTGCTTTGATATTAGTTAAAAGCGTTATATAAGAACCCGTTATTATTATTATTCATTATTATTATTGTTATTATTTATTGCCCTGTTTCATTTAAAGAGGGGTCAGGGAACCAGACTACAATAACGTGATTACTTTTCTTGCCTTTCCAGCATCTACGACCCCAAAATCTCATACAAGCCAGTGTACTAATATTTGTCATAAAATACTAACACTCAAATCCATCGATTTCTGAAAATAACTGGAAAAGCAGACGTTGTATATTCCCTTTAAGAGCAATGAACATGAAAACATGGGAAATAAGCATGAAAAAAAAACACCATGATGATCGTTTGCCACACCGGAATAGTCTACGATATGTAGAAGCCTACATGTTGTGTGAGTGAACATTCCCGAAGTTCAAACTTTCCTTCAAAAATGGGATGAGTTTTGCCAATCCCCACGCCGTCAAAGTCCCGCAGACGTTCTCCATCTTGAACATCCGCACAACGTGCACGCGCATTATAGTGTCATGTACATGTACATCACTCAGCGTAAATGTCTGCCCAACTCGGAGTAAACCTTTCAAAGTAAGATCCACAGGCTACGTATTATTGAGCAATTTTTACCTTGTGAATGGGTATCACAGGCATTTATTAGTACACAAGTGATGCGTTTTGGGGTTTTAATCCATAATCATTTATTTTACCCAACCATTTTATGTTTTTGAGAGTGCATATGGTATTTTCTTCCTTTCTAGCGCGTATGGTGATTCTGCCCTTAACCGCCAGCACTGGTCGATTCAACAAGGTGTATGCAACCTTTGACGGAACGGTATACGAGGCAAATATCCCCAATGTGTGGGCACCGACCGCAGAAACAGGTTTGTATTCTACCGGTTTTTTTTCAAGGACGTATAAGAAATTGAATTCAAAATAATCGGCCAGTTATTTTCTTTGAAAACAACTGATCTGGCTGTGTAAGCATTGAGAGAGAAGTTCCATAAATGTCATTTTACGAGGAAAAAAGGGAATTTAATTGAACGTGCGTCTTAGAGAATAACATCACAAGGCCTTCCTGGACATCAGAATTCGACGATTTTCACTTCGAGATAAATAAAGAAGACGAAGCAAATGATGGAAAGTCACAATTCGGACAGTTTATAGTATTTAAGCGATGCGGCAATCTTCAATTTGTGATGTTATCAAAATACAAGAATAATAGTTCCCTTACAACTCATTGAAGCTCTATGACTGTAAAACACGGTGAATCTGAATCCCCCATTTGTTTCAGATCAAGAACACATTAATGCTGGTCCCAGAGGGCCACCTGTAGCCCTCTTTGTGTCGGACTCACTGACTGACTCACTGAGTGACTGTCACTCGTGAGCCGGGCAGTGGTATTGTATATGATTACCCTGTTGCGACAATGATCTTGGGATTAGTTTAAAGTGTAGACCATGAACAACATCTCCTGTGAATAGCCTTCTGAATCAAATCAACGGGTTTTTAGCGCTCTGAGACCGATTTCCTTGTCGTTTCTTTTTCGTTTTTTGTTGATAGCGCGCTAGCATATATGACCCACCCTCAATCAAATGATTGTTTATTTCTATTCAATCACAATAGTATATTAATTTGCGCATGCACACTTGAAATTCCAAAATGATCCATCTTTCCAGAATAAAGTACCAACTTCTGACGTCAGATGTTTTTTTTTCTGCTTCAAGCGCTGGTTTGTGTGCTGTCTACACCTACGCTCAGCGTGTGAACCAGAAAACGCGGCGCACTTTGGTACTCTTCGTCTCTGAGATATATTGATATTACATAATTGAGTCTTAAATGTATTTGCTAAAACTACTAATGATGATACGGATGAATTCAACAGACCTATCTACTAAGCCCCGCCCAATCATGTATTGACCAATCATGCCGTGTAATGGACGGACATCGCACCGCGATACACACACACCGCGCCGGTTATGGACGGACATCGCGCTGCATTAGTGACCTTAATGGAACACCATAATGTACACTGAAATAAATAACTGTTTCCTGCAGTGCTTGTTGTCATGAACGTCACTGACGTGCCAACCGAGGAGACGGCGATTATCCCTGACAGCGATTCCGATGAACCGACTCGATTTGGCAGTCCAGTAATCGGTTTAGACGTGATCACCGCAAGTGGAGAGAAGATTTCGGCGGACTTTGACGAGGCACCCATTGAAGTCATCTTTCCACGTCAAGAGGTCGGTTAATGGCATTATCGATTAAATCAATATCGAGATGTCGGCTTTGTCAGTATCGATAAAAGACACGTGTCAAAGTTGAGATCTGATAATGTTTGTCAAGTTAAAGGGGCACTGCGTCCTGGGAAGAGCTCAATTGGGCTACAAAACGCGTTCTTCACGAAATGATTAAAATTGATTAAAATCGCCCGTTTTGTGTTAGTCCTGCGACAGCGACTTTCAAGGGGCAACAGTCCAGTCGCACATGTTTCTTTGAAAATACTAAAAAAAAATTAAAAAAACAGTAACACGCGGGTATTGGTGCTGGTAGTAGTGCACGCAAGGCGTTTATTTTACACTGAAATGTCTGCCTTAAAAGGATTTTTTGTCGCTTTGTCCATCTCTGTGGGATTGATGTCCATCTGCCAGTATTTTTTGTTTTTGTTTATTTTTTTTAAAATGTGTAGTTGTCTCCTTGAAATGTTGACTAATCAGCAATATACCTGCCTTGGGGACACGCGTATTAAGGTCAATAATATTGTGGTGAAACGATTGAGAATAAAAAAAAAAGATAATAATAATCATAAACCTTATTTTCAACAAGGTCGCAATTTACTATCCCCCTCTTTTTCTACAGTGTCTCTCCGAGGAAACTATCGTGTGTGCCCACCAACCAGCTGAAAACAAGTGAGTTTAGTTTTCATGAATCTTTGAGTTTGGGAATTTAGCCGGAAATTTTAAGACTGTTTTTTTTTTGGAGGGGGGGGGGGAGGGGGAGGGGGAAGGAGTATATTCGTTATAAGAACCACTCACAAAACTACATATTCACATGGGATGGGTTGTAAACATGTTTTGCTTTAGAATTTCTGGGCTTCTACAACATCAGCCCCTTAGGTTCTTTTGTTTGTATTGATGCTTTGTTCATAAATACCTGACACTGTTTACCGATTCATGTTGGTTCAGCCCTGGGTGGTTTTAAACGGCCGGTAAAAAAAACCCGATGTATTCTGCTAAGGAAACGCACATTGCGCACCGTGCGCGCGTCAAGCTCCATATAAGGATTTGTTTAGCACCACGCTCACGAGGCACATACCATAGACATGGCCATAGGGGCGTTTCACAAAACCGATCGCAATTTGTGATTTCGTTTCCTCACTTCTTTGATCGAAAGGTATTGATGAATACGAATAAATATGTGCTTTACCGGTTTTAAACAAGTACGTTTAAAGCTGTCTGGGGGCCTGGACGCGGATATTGTCTTTGAAAGCATGTATTTTACGATATATGCGCTTTAAAGTTTGAATATGGCGATACAGATAAGCATCGGAAATTATATCTCAATTGATTATTAGGACCTATAATACTGAAACTTGTATAACTCTAATCTTTCTTAATTGAGAACAATCTACATGATCAGCATCATCCGCCTTCCGTGCTGACCACTGCGTCGAGTCTGCCACCCTCAAAATCCCAAATGACCTGCTGCACACTATGGACAAGCGCAAAATATCATTGCTCGTGTTGCTCGACTTATCAGCAGCTTTTAATACAGTTGACCACGCCTCATTATTCAGCCGCCTCAAGACTCGTATTGGGATAGATGGAGTTGTATTGGACTGGTTTAAATCCTACCTACACTCTAAAAACAGATTGGTTGAAATAACCAATATATTGGTCAAATTCAACCAATGTGGTTGGTAGATATGTGTCCAACCAATCTATTGGTTAAAATAACCAATGTGAAATGGTTTGGTTTTCAACCAATCTATATTGGTCAGAATACTAACCAACATGTTTTGGTTGTTTTTTTAACCAATCAAGATTGGTTACCTTTTCAACCAATCCATAACCAGTCTTGATTGGTTAATTTTTCAACCAACCGACATTGGTTAGAATACTAACCATCACATATTGGTCAAAACAACCAATATATTGGTTAAAGATAACCAATTATATTGGTTGGAATGACCAATCTTACTAGTTAAAGATAACCAATTTTATTGGTTGGAATGACCAATATTATTGGTTACGTTTGACCAAGTACATTGGTTGGAATGACCAATATTATTGGTTACGTTTGACCAATTACATTGTTTGGAGTGACCAATTTTATTGGTTAAAGTTGCCAAGTGGTTTAATTAGTTTACAGAACAAAAAGATTTAATAGACCAATATAATTGCTGGGGTTCATCCTCTGCATGTAGGTTTTATTTCAAAGAATATCAGTACGTACATTTACAATGGACACAGCGCATGAATGAATTCACATTTTGAAATTATAATAAAGTTGAGAGTTTAAGAGTTGAATTGATTCATATTAAAGATGAAATATTATTGCTCTTTGAATTAGAGTGGAAATTTGATATCAAAAACATTACAATTTTGAATTTTAAACAGATGCAAGCATCTGGAGCATCACTGCTGTTGCAGATTGAATTGGCCCTGTGTTGTAAACAAAAGACAAACAAAAACAACCGACCTGGCCATGCATCATTGCATGCATCAAATGACATCATTGCTTAATAAGTGGATGTTATATTTTAGTTTCCGTAATTTCGTCAGCCTCTTCCTCGGATTCAATCAATTTTAACTTTTAGTTTGAACCCATCTTGTGGTTCTCCCCAATGGAAGTTGGATGATATTCAAGATTTGTACTTAAAGTTTAGCATTTGATTTCTTCAAATTGACAATTTTACAGATAGACTTGCTGAATTGTCTTGTAATTCATTATAAATCTTATTAACAATTGCCTATTCTTGAAAGTAGATTTTTCAAAACTTGGTATAATTTTTCTGATTCATCTTGAAAGGAAGCAACTTCAGATAATTATTTACTAGATGAGCACAAGCTGTTGAAAAAGGTTAAGTTTCTTTCCAAATGTTATTGCGTCACTTTTCACAAAATACATTATTTTGTATCAGTTTATTGTGAAAAATGAACTTCCCAAATTTTCAGAAAACCTTAAATATGTTATTTTAAAACTTTAATACCATAAACGGTCATCTCGAAACAGCTTTGCTACTGTCACCTCATTAAAGAACTGAAGAAATGGTCCATGGTATGTCTTGAGAGTTGCTCCCCTCTTGCTGCATTCCTCGTCCCTCCTCTGGATAAAGCTGGCAAGGTCTGTTCCACACTGAAAGCAAGGTTCATTATATTATCAAATTTGAAACTCGTAACTGTTGAAGTAGGTGCATTTTCAGTCAGCAAGCTTCACATATGAAAAATATCACGTACATTGTAGAAGCAACAAATCGATAGCAACTTGCAAAGCATTAACTATGCTAAAATTAGGTCCTCTTTTCCTTGCAGATAAAGTACCGCAAGTTTTCAATTCCATGCAGATTGATGTGTGTTATTAGTTACCCTGTCCATGCTACATGGCGGCATTTAACATGTCGCATGCATTCTTTCCAAAACCTCATAAAACAAAGTTATCTTTAATGGTACCATGCATACCTTGTGGCTATGCTTGGCTTCCACTTTTCACCTTCGCAGTAGACAATGTTCTTGTGTATAGCATCGGCAGCATGACAAACAGTGTTGCAGCTATGTCCTCTGCAAAGAAGCAATCATGGAATAATGAAGCGGAGTGCATAGATAAATGCTTCAATAACAGCACTAGATGTCGGTCATACCACACAAAAATGACAAATTTCCTTCAAGCAATGTCCAGCAAGTATACTGCTGTAGTCCCTCTCTAGGGCCCATCTGACAATAGAAGTTCCATTCTTATACATATGCAACCTACACGATCAGTGTAATGGCCACTATGACCAGACTATCTCATGGCTATCCATGGCGCTCACGTAAAGTAGTTGCACAGTGGACTGCAACATTTCTTTAAAATATTGAACCTCCCCTACAATGTTTACAAAATTATTATGCCCAAAAAATCGTCAGCTGAATAAAGAGGGAAAAACTAACCCAGGGCTGGGTAGTAGTCAGCATCCTCTTCATCATCTTAGCCAGGTACAAGATTATTCAGCTAGAGCTGCTACAAGGCGCACAGCTGTGTCATCGCAGCAGTCGAGCTGTATTTGTTTCAAAAGCTTTGGTGCCACCATCTCCCACTTTGCTGTGAAATTGCCAGCCTGCTCCTTGAAGAGAAGCTTTAAGTCCTCATCATACAATCTGAGATACATAATGAAATAAACAAAACGCTAAGTAAAAAATATGCAGTGAAGATTACATATGTATCAATAAACACTTTACATGGGTTGTTTCTGGCCCAACCCTGCCCACAAATCAAAACCAAGACTTGTTTTAGAAAAACATCAGATTTTCTTAACACTGGAAAAGTAGTTCCAACTTCCCAACAAAAGATCCAGACTCTGCCCAATTACCTGGCACTTGCCTCCATACATGTAGTTCAATCGAACAACAGGGAAGTAGATTGACCCATGACTGACCACAGTCAGAGATATGTTGTCCCAGGCTAGCCTGGCTACTTAATTACCCTACCATATGTCTCTGGAATGTCCTGGCTTGGGCCACGAGGCCGGACTGGGCGGCCATTACACTACATGTATCTGTAGTGGCCTTAAACTAAAGAAAAGGAAATCTCAACTCAAACTACTGAATCTGAACTAAAAACAAATAACTTGTATACAAAAACCACCAGGAAAGTAATCTTTACATTAAACACTCTCTGAAACTAGAGTTATTTTAGTAAAATAACATACAATTCCAAAGAAAAATCAAAAAAATAAATCCACACTCCAGAACCAGAATATGGTCAATTTGCAATGACCGTAATGTTCACACAATGAAAAAGTTGAACAATGCTTCGAGTAAAACTGCAAAAAATACTGACTTCCTTCAAGCCCCCCACAAATAGTCTTTAAAGCCAGTGAACAAAGTAGTCTAAGCTTTCATCAAAGTACATCAACCTACAAATTATGCCAAGATAAAAGAACATTTCTTACCTGAAACAGAGAGACAAGCAAGCAGCGGATTGTCGAAGCATGGGGCAAGGAACACAGGTAGCAGTTTGGTAGTAGTAGTTTGAAATTGCATGCGTGGCTCAGGGACATTCCACTTTTATGAAGGGTCATTCCAGTGTAAATGCAGCAAATTAAATGTTTGACATCTTTGACAAACAGGATTGGAATTTCAATTCCTGGTTTGCCATTAAATCTGTTATTATTGAAAAACATTTTTTACACGATTATGTTCTACTTCCCATTGGAATTCCTGTGAGAATCTGGAACACTGGTCATCTTGCACCCCCAAAATAGTGGATTCGGTCCTTCCGTAGGCAACCAATATGAATTGGTTGATATGTTGAACCATAGGTTGAACCAATGTGATTGGTTACCGCAATACATTGGTTAATCTCGATCAGGATTGTTCATGTCTGAAATGAAAACTTCAGGATTGCTTCGTTGCTGAACCAATGTGATTGCTGGCTTCCTATTGGACATTATTCCAATGTCAACCATAGAAGATTGGTTCAATGTTGGCCCAGTGTGATTGGCTGCTTGAAAACCAACCTATTTGTTACGAACTGTGACCAACATCAATCAATAAGCATTGATTCGTTACTCAACCAATGTGATTGGTTGCCGAGCAGCAACATATTGGTTAATGGATTGGTTTATTGCTCAACCAATGTGATTGGTTGCCGAGCAACCAACATATTGGTCGCTATTGACCAATGTATTGGTTAAAGAATTGGTTTATTG